TACATTTGACAGGTATTGTACATAAGAAATGTTAAAACAGGAAATCATTTGGGGGGTCTGAAATGGATTAATTTAATTTACATTATCTCTAATGAAAAAAAATGATTCTGTTTTCAAATAAATCTCTTCTTGAACAGCCTTCTAGAATGAATCAAGTTCGAGAACCAAGGTTCAACTGTACTCCACAGATGATGGCTGTTACTATTTTCAACCACTCACTCAGGGGTGGATATTTGCAAAGAGTAGACTGGGTCCCATCAGAAACTTCTCTTTTTCTGGACTACCTAACCCCAGATCCTCACAATGACCTTCTTGCTCACAGATGACCGTCCTCTCGCTCCAATCACTCTCTTTGGAAGGCATTCTAGGTTACTATTACCCCTTACAGTGTGACACTCAGCTGGGTCTCTCACTAGAGTCTGACCAGCACAGTGTGTGAGTGTGTGCATGCGTGTGGGTGTGTGCCATCACCTTCCTGTATTCTAAATGCTGTCCTCTGATTATGCAACCTGAAGTAGCATGATGTTTGGGGGTATTAACAACCTAGATTATTAAGCACTTAATCTGTGTGTTGGAAACTATGCTAAGCATAGTATGTATACTAACTCATTGAATCTACATGATAACTCTAGGGGGTAGAAATTATATATTTTTACAGATTTTATTTATTTATTAAAAATAATTATCCTCATTTTGTACATAAGAAAACAGAAGCTTAGAGATATTATATGCATAAGTGGAAGGTCAGCACAGCTAAAACATGGTGGAACTCAGATTCTATCTCTAGTTATCTTACTCTGGAGCCACAATGTTAACTGTGAATAGAGTCTACACCACACTAGCTCCCACGAATATTATTAAATTTACTCAACTCAAATCTTAGGTCTTTTTCTTTATACGATTTTAACAAACTAAGGCTTCCTACTCCTGCTCCTCTTTAGCTAAGTTTTTAAACATCACCTTATAGCATAACCTCATCCAATTTGATTGCATCAAATCTAATCCAGTATATTCTCTCTCCCATTCAGCTTCAAGTCATTGGCAAATGTAATTTGATAAATTGCTGCTAAGGAGGAGGAGTAGAGCAAAGCCAAGGGCAGAGCTCTTTGGCAAGTTGTTAGACAAATTTCTCTCAAGGTGTATTTCTATCACACTGTCATTTCCCAATGGGGGTAATGTTTGACCTGTTACCATTCCACCAAACTGAATGAACATCCAACTTCCATTTCTCTATCTTATTGATGATTATTTCTTGAAATATTACATAGTGTTTAGGGTCAGTATCTACTGCTAAGATTCATTAATTCATTCTATGAAAGGTTGCCCCAGGAAGAATTGTGGATGGGTATAAAAAATATATATATATATATGTACATGATGGTCTTGAGTGTTAAAAATATTTAAGGGAAAAAAATACCACTTTTGCTTCCAGGACTCCAACCAACAGCCTTCCCTGGGATTAACACACATCTATCTAACCTCGTCTCAACCCCGGATCTCAGAAGGACAGGGCTCAAAAGGAACCACTGTCATTCATGCAGAAGAGGATTCGTAGAAGGACTTTTGCCTTTCTCTTCATGTGCTGGAACAAGGCACTGTCGTTCCTTATGCTTTAGCACCTGTAGTAACACTGAGGAAAGACTGACCATGGTAATGTCAGCCCTTTTTATTAAAGAAGAATGAAACCCAAGGCCTGTCTCATTAGCCCTGGTCCACTAGTCATGCAGAACTGTGAGCCTACTTGATATTAATCCATTCATCAACCTCATCACTAGTCCCACAGAGGGGGGACTTGTACCCTTTGCCTCAAATATAAACAGAGGAGAGCTGGACATGCCAAGCACCCTGGCCAGAACCTCTCACACCCTACTAGGACACCGCTGTGAGGCCCCGCAGAGCCAGCAGAGCACTCTGGGTAATGGAATGCAACACTATGCAGTTCCCCCACTGGCCTCCTCAGGGTGTCTTGATTTCTGGCTCTGCAAGAGCTGAGGCAAGCAGTTTTTGAAATGGGGGAAAAGGGTGGAGAGAAGGGGCGGAGGCTTTCTCTAGGCCAACCACAACTAACTCATTCACTCTGTCCAGCAAAACCCAGACAGTGCAATTATCTGGTTAATTTGGCCTTTAGTTGGGAGACAGACTTCCAAAATGTGAGGCCAGCTCAGACTAAACAGTGGCTTCCATCCTGAGGCTTCTCCCAAGCGCTAGAGGATGCATATGAGATTCCTGGGGATTGCTTATGTGACCCACCCATGGATCCAGATGGGAAAAAGACAAACAATTCAGACTCTAAAATGGGGTTTAGGAAGGCATGTCTTCCAAGGAAAAATGTCAAGATTATCTGCTAATTGGTCTCCTAGCTAATTTGTCTGCTGGCTTCCAAGGAGGGGAACGGCTGGAAGTCAGGAAAACTATGTTTTCCAGTGTGACTATAGCCCTCACAGACTGGCCATGTGTCCCCAGAGCCCCAGGGTGAGTTATTCTTAGGGAAATTCCCTTGGATGCTCCTGCTCATAGGTGTTGTGCCTGTAAGTTAGGCCAGGAGGCACTGACATAAAAGGGTAAAATTAAAACATGTCTCTGGGGTTTTCACAAATGGAATGAGACAAGGAGAACTAAGCTGACAACGGAGCATTTACCAGATGGTTTATGGAAGACTCAGATTTTTGAAGGGAGATTAGAGAGCAGTGATTTATCTCCCTTGGAAACTGACAAACAGCCTGGAATCTGCGGAATCTATAAATTATTATTCAGCAAATATTTGCTTCAGTTCTAGTATGTGCCAGGCCCTGTGCTACACAGAATGAGAGCTAAACAGCAATGGCCCCTACCGTCATGCAAATAATCCCACATCCAAACATGTGGTTAAAAACTCAGATAAGGACCAGGAAGAGCTGGGGTGCTATGAAAGGGAAAACTCAGGTGACAGCCAGGAATGTAAAGCTGGGGTTACCCGATTGAGATTGGGGTGTGAGGGCTCAAGAAGGAGTCTTTGAGGAAGGGATTTGAAAGTTAATGCTTTTAAGAATCTAATTTGCCTTTTAAGAAGAATCCCTCTGGCTTTAGTACAAAATATAAATTGGAAGTGGGTGAAAAGATGGAGTTGGAGGCTACTGACTAGGAAGATTATGGATGAGAGTTGATGATGGTGGTTCAACCAAGGATCCAGGCAATGGGGATGCAGAGAAGCGGACAGACCAGGAAGGTTTGCTATATGGAGTCAACAGGATCTGGTAATTGAATGGGTGTAGTGGCAGAAAGAGAGGGAGGAATCCAGAAGACCACGAGGTTTCTGGCTAAGGTGGAAGGGAGATGGCGGCATTCTTCACTGAGAGAGGAAACTTGGGACAATGAGCAAGTTGAGGTCAGGGGAACATGATGTGTCCTGTTTTGGAGGCAACTGCCCTGGACTCTCCACCATCCCATGCCCTGTACTTCTGGTCTCTTTGCCTTCTTGGCTCGCACTGCTTCCAGCTCATATACTCTTTGTGTTGCCTCCACTTGTTGACAGCATATCCATCCTTCAAGATCCACTTCAAACACCACCGTCTCCTTGAAGCCATTTGACTCCCTCAATGAATGTGGCCTCCGCTGCCCATAGTGGTCAGTTTGGACCTCTCTCTCCTGGATTCCACCTGTGTGGAGGTTCTGTGAAGACTTACCTTGCCTGCTTTTCTAGACCACAGGCTTTTTGGGACAGAGCCTCTGCTTCTACATCCTCATTTCCCACATTAACGAGCTAGCATACAAGATGTGTGACAAATACTTGTTAAGTGAACAAAAATAACCTGCTCTTTGCCATGGAAGGAAAACCAGTAGACATTGGACAGACTTGAAAGCCACAGGGTCACATTGAAATGCAAGCTGTAGGTGTTTTCAAATGAAGCCAACTCAAATTTGATGCTCAGAAAGGCTTTCTGTTCCTCCAACACAGCAAACTCAAAGAGCGCTGGAAAAGTCCACCCTTCTACTTTTTCATTGCACTTTTCTGAGTTCATCATACAGCAGGGACCTTTCCTATCTTATTAACTGTTTGTCTTTGATGATGATGATGATGATGATGATTATGATAAAAGGGTAACATTTACTAGGTGTTGGTATGTGCCTGGAACTGTTCTAAGTATTTTTCATGCTCTAACTCAGATGATCCTCACAACTACCCCGTTGGGTTGATGCTATCATCACCCAATTGTACACGAAGAAAATGAGCTGCAGAGAGCTCTAGTATTACTCCACCAAAGTCACAGTTATTTGGGATTTGAACCTCGAATCTGGCTCCAGAGCCCATGCTCTGACATGCTAAAGCCAAGCACTGGGTAGGTCTCCAACAAGCATTCACTGAGTACATGGGAGGAGCCCTGGATCTGGAACCATATTCTGCCCCTGACTTCCTATGTAGCCTCAGGCAAGTCATGTTTCTTTCCCTCATAAAATGAGGGAACTAGATGTTGATATTAATGCTAATAATCAGAGCCAATATTTGTAATTCTAATCTCCTTTGAAGTTCTAAATAATTTAATCCCAAAAATGATTCAAAGCAATAATATAAGAGAAAGATGATACAAAGAGATTAAGCCACCTGCCCAATACCCAGAAAATGAGGGAGCCAGGATTCAAACTCACTGTGCTCTCAGCCCAAGTAGTTCCATACGTGGGGCACCATGGCAGGCATGTGGGGAGGTGGAATAATGGGGCAGATGGCCTTTGGGGCTCCTCACACCCGTTTCCATCAGAGAAGCTCTACTTGTCTCTATTTTGTAGAATGAGCTCCTACTTGAGATCACCTTTGAAAGAAGGTTCTGCTGCTAACACAAAAAGATTGAAAACCACTGGACTAAATAATTCTAGAATTTAATGAGACTCCCAACACAAGCCAGAATTTTTCTGGTAATCTTGGCTCATTATAACCACATAGATTGGGGGTCAAGGTTGCTCCTAGGAATGGCGCCAGCTGTAGAAAAGGTTAGGGCGATAGTGCTAAAGACTCTGCTCCAACCTACCTGCTCCACTCGGATCTCGATCTCTCCATTTGCCTTCTTTCCATGGAAATACTTGGCCCTGTGAAGAAAAAGAAGAAGTCTCTGAGTAAGGATGCAGACTGCTTTTCTCTTTTCTCCCTTCTCCCAAAGATCTCATCACCCCCCGACATGTCACCCCCGGAGGTGCGTATCCAGACCCCTCCTCTACAGAACTGCTCTCGCCTCCCACTTTGGCCGCTTCATTTCCTCACTATTTATACGCATCATGTGGGAGAGGGGGAAGAACACTGGATGGGAGGACGGGAGACTCAGGTTCTCATTCAGCCAAGGTGCTTGACCTTCCTGAGTCTGTTTTATCCTCTCTGAAAGGATGAAATTCCTACCTGCATGATATATATATATATATATATATAAATTTTAAGGGTCAAATGAGATAAAGGATCCTACATAAATAAATAGTGCAGAATTATTTTATTGAGTTACACCCCATAAACTTCATAAAGGACATTAAATTAATCTATCCACCTACTAATTTCTCTATTTGTCCATCTGTCCTATAAAGTAGACTTTACTTGTTCCTTTGTCCTTCCATCCATTCGTCCATCTGCCCATCAACCATCCATTCGTCCATCAACCATCCATCCATCCATCCACCCACCATCTTTCCTCTATACCCCTGCTCTGACTTCCTATTATCAATAAATGGCATTCCATCTGCTCATTACTCAAGGCAGAAACATGGACATCATTCTTCTTACCTCTTTCTCTCTCCCTATCCCCAGATTCTACATTCTAATTATTTAAGTCCACCCACTTGCCCACTTTTCTTCAAAAGCACCCTAGTCTTGGCCTCCTTCAACTGTCTTCTCATATAGATCTTCTTGTCATGCCCCACTTTTCTCTCACAGCACTTTATACAATTGTAATGAGTAACTGTGTTTAGCATCTGTGTCCCACTACACTATAGCACAGTTCCTTGAGGTCAGGAACAATCAACCTTATTCATCATTCTATTCCCATTAGCTACCAGCATGCTTTATATGCAGTGTGAGCTCAATTAACGCCTGTTGAAAGAATGAATGATTGAAGAGCTAGATTAAAAAAAAACACTCTTGTTTTCTGTGCTATTCGCTTTAACCTATGGTCTTTCTCATTAAATGCTTACAACCACCACAAGGCAGGCATTTCTATTTCCTATAGACAAGGACACTGAAAACCAGAGAGAAGAAATACTTTGCCGAAGTGGTTTGAGTCCTGTCCTTCTAATTCCATACCTATGTTTTTGCTCACACCTGAAAAATAGCAGTGAATGTTAGGCTGCTCCTGGGTTTAGATGTCCTCCCACAAAGCAAATGCAGCAAAAGTTTCCATTTGCTTTTTTAAACTGTGAATGAAGCAAATAGTTCTCAGTTACTTGCTGCAATCTGAACACTGTGTTAACAAACATTTCCATAAACCTTTTCTGGGGCAGAGACAGCTCTTTGACCCCAACACCCATTTTCTTCTTTTCCCACAGACAGAGAGTTTACAGACTGGTGCTCAAAAATATGTACATCCCAACTCTCCATTCAGCTAGGTATGTATGGCCATGAGATTGAGTCCTAAAGAATAACTCGTAATCATGATATCCAAGAATCTTCTTAGCTTCTTCTTCCATTCTTTTCCCTGGAACAGCAATGTTGCCATGTATTGGGGTTTTGTTTTGTTTTGTTTTGTTTTCATCCTTTCATTTGTGAAGGAAAGAATTTTCTACAAATTCTCCGACCCAGCTTCAGTCTGTCTGCTTCCAAAGTCTGTCTACACTTACCCACTGCCAGTGGAGTTCCTCTCTTTCCAATACTACCTGCATCACTGACTGATGGTTCTCATATTATTAACACCCCTTTTTCCTACAATGTTCACAGGCTTAGATGCCAACGAGGCAGCATTTTAGTGAGATAGGAGCTGCTGATGTGAACTGAAAGCAAGATTTTGTGTTTTATTTCTCCCAGGATGGTCTTAGACAAAATATGTGTAAACTCGGCTAGTGAAAAGGGAACTTTTTCACATAATTTGTGGATTTTATCACAGATCCACAAAACGTAGTGTCAGCAAACTCCAGACACTGGGATAAGCCCATCCTTAATGTTTTGTGGGGCCTGGGGCAAAAGAATAAATGGAGGCGTATATCTCGCTTAAAAATGATATCTAAAACTAGCAAACATTTAAATAAAACACATATGTCTTCCCTCCTCAATAAGTGCAATTTTATAATTTTCCAGAAGGGCCGTAATTTAGACTTCTCAGAATTCTTGGATTTCTACTAGAACATGGCAATATGGGAGCTGCGATCGCTTGGTCCCCATGGACATCCTAATTTTCCTTTCACCCTCCTCTATGTCCTGCAGATGTTGGGGCTTCCTGTGCAGGCTTATGGATGGCCCAGGCCTCATGGCCCATCTTTATTTCCTTGCCCATGGCCCCATCAACAGTTGTCCCTTGGCCATGACATGGGAGGATGGACCAGAGAATTGGCCTATATAGGCCCCGGAATTAGGTCTGGTCCCTTTGGGTAGGGTTGGGCATGGTCCTAAGGGTGCAATTTGCAGGGCCCTCCTCTGCTGTCATTCCTGACTTAGGTCAAGGGTTCCTCTAGTTTGGGTTTAATAGAAGTACTGGGTGAGCCTAGGGCCCCAGGATGGTAACTCATGAATACAGGTACTGCTATATTGAAAAAAGCATAGATTTGGAATCGGACAGGCTTGGGCAAAATCTTAGCTCTACTACTCACTCACCACATGTTCCAAGACAAGGTACTTAATCCCTCTAGGTCCTAGTTTCCTCATCTGTCAAGTGGTAATAACACCTACCAGCCAAGGCTGTGGTGAGAAATCCACTTGATCTTTTCTGTCACAGGGCACTAGAGTGTAGTGGACTCCGGGCTGGACTGCCTGGATGCAATCCCAGCTCCATCGCTCACTTGCTTGTAACTTGGGTTACTCACTCAGACTCCCTGTGCCTCAGTTTCCATATCTGGGAAACAGAGATATTCCTAGTCGCTCTCACACAGGGTGGTTGTGAGGATTAAGCAAGACAAGACACAGAAAGCACTCAGAACAGTTCCTGGCATGTCATAAGCTCCCAAGCATAGAGCCCAGAGCCTGGAAAGGAGTCAGCAGCAACAACGAAGAACTATAGAGTGTTTACTCTGTGCCTAGGGCTGCCGTGTGCTCTTACCTTCGTGGAGGCTGCAAGCAGAATTACTATTCACCTCACTTTGATTCGTCCCATTGGTGCAGTAAGTGATGGATGGTGATGAAAATAATAAATAATAAAAAATAATAAATATACCTTGATATATAAGGCCTTAAGCCCCTTCACAACCCTCCTCCTATTTGACCCTAATGTCGACCCTGTGAGGTGGTCGGGCAGTTACAGTCCCTACATGGTCTGGCTGGAGAAGTCCCTGTTCCAAGTCTCACGACATCCCCAAGTGGCAACAGTGAATGACACCTTATGCGTTAAAAATTGGGAGGACTCAGTCCAGACCCTGTGGGTCCTTCATGATCTGGACCCTGCGGACCTACAGCCCATTTCTCCTCCGCTTTTCTCCCCACCACACAGACATGCTTGACTTTCCACTCTGCCTTAAACATGTCCTGTGCTTTCAGGACTCTGAGCCTTCACACGTGTGTTCTCCCTGACCAGGATGGCTTTCTTCTCTTCTCCGTGTGGCTGCCTTTTCCTATCAAGTTTTCCTTGAGAGCAACGCCCCCGCCCCCTGCACCAGCGAGGCTGGGTTAGGTGTCCCTTTTCTGGGTTCCCACAGAGTGCTGTACCCAACCACTATAATACATATCATCCTGTTTTGTAATTATATATTATTTGTCTTCCCCTCCCCCCCACACTTAGTCTGTGAGAGCCTGGAAACCTGAAACTGTGTCTCAACGCTCACTGAATCTTCAGTATCCGGCACAAAGTGCCAGGGCACAAGGCACATGTTTAACAAATGTTTGCTGACGAGGTAAATGAATAACGTCTTCCAGGGATAGGGTATCCAGTCCTTGAGACACGTTACCGCCATCTACTGGTACACTGTTGCAATACACTTAGGAATCCACACCAAGACGCAGGGTCAGATTGTGCAGCCTCCAACCTGCGCAACTGGCAGCCCTTGACTTCATTCTAACCTGGAACCCGGAACACTTTGTACTACGCCAATACCACCCAGGTCGCTCCGGCCTTCAAAGGCCTCACCTTCCCGGGAGAAACACTTGTTTTGCCCATCTCTGGGGTTTTTCCTGCAGGGCCTGGCAGACAAACGCAAGGCTGAAGCGGAGGGTCAGGCGGTCCATCCCCCTGCCTGGCCGGGAGTCAGAAGTCTGTCTCCTGACAGGCCACACAGACTGCTGCCTCCTTGCCGGAGGCTCATTCAGGCCTGAGCTGCCTCTGAACAGTTCTGTCTGGCAGCAGGAAAGGTAGGGATGGTGTGGAATGCTAGATGCCCTGGGGGCTGGAGTTGCTGCCTCTGTAATTGCCTGGCCAGTTTGACCTCAGGTAAAATGCATGGCCCTGCAGTGCTGAGGACTCTGTCTCCCTCAAGCAGATCTCTTCCTGATGTCCTAATAATGTTTATTCTCATAACGGGGCTCCCCAAATACCCCGGCCAATCAGTCAAGTCCCTGGTCTTGGGAAAGAGGTGGGGGCGGCTCTTCATTCTACCAAGCTTCCATCTCTGTGGGTGGTCTCATATTTTACTGCCACATCAGAGGCACCAGGAAGGAGAATATTATAAAACTGGTGCTGCCTGGGGTGGGAAATTTCTATCTGGGGAGGCGGGATGTGGTGTGAGAGAAAGATTTATGAGCAGCGGGTACCTAGTCTTTCTCAGCGGCAGCAGGCGCAGAAGGAAGAGAATGAGCATAAACAGGATCCACCTGTGTCCAAGCAGCTCCCTTCCAATAAATCCATCTGGGACGTAGAGTCGAGGTCTAGCCCTCGGCATTGCCCTTCCTAGGGAGGACAGGCCAGGAACATTCTGTCTCAGGCACAGCCACCTTCCCACAGGTCACCCCTGTTATGGAGGCGGGGGGGGGGGGG